GTAAATGTGGGGGGGGGGGGGGAGCAAAGGCCCAGCCCCCCCCAACACCCGCCCCCCTTTTTGGGGGGGGGGGGGTGTCACAAAGATAGAGGTCCAAACCTATTGCATTGGAAGCTGCCCATGAATGAGGCAATGATGGCAGGACGACTCTGCCGAGGCCACGGTGGAGCTGGGTTTTTGAGGTGTAGAAGCTGTCCTCCACTTTGAGCAAGGACTAATCTAGAAAAGAAGGCCCCTGCTGAGGCTGCATTTGGGCTGGGGGATTGCAGCAGCCCCTTGCAGTGGGGATAAACCAGAAATCTCCATGCAGGGCCTTGCATCGTGCCGTGGCAGGGGCTGGGGTGCTCAGGCCCCCTGCATGCTCCCTCCACCGCTGCCGGTGCTCGCAGCATCCCTCGTGGGCAGCCCCGCAGAGGGGCCGCCCGGACAGGCTGGCCCCCCTCTATTCCCTCTGCCACCCAGACTCCGGTTCACACCTCACATCGTTGTTGCCATCGCTGACACACGAGATCAAACCCGTGGCATTTTGCTAAAATCCATAGGAAATCATTCCACAGCCTTTCCTTATGTTTAGCTTAGCAGACTTTCAGTAGATTCATTCTCTTTTTTTTTTTTTTTTTAAACAGAAACAAGCAGCGTGCTAAGAAATGCAAACCCGCTGGGATGTTTTCAGCCTTGGCTGGAGCAGCCCGAGCCCCCCCGGGGCCGGGAGGCTGCCTCTGGCCGGGGCTCAGCGGGCGGCTTTCTGGGACAGCCATTTCTGATCCAAGCCGGTGTTAAGCCGGCTGTCTGAGGACAAACCGGAGCCGCTCCACCTCCGCTCGGCACCGGACGGCAGCGGCATGGCGCTCTGGGGAGCCTGCCTGCTCCTCTGCCTCCTCTCCCTTGCCCAGGTCTCCGGTCAGCAAACCACCAAAATCCGGCAAAAGCCAGTGGCTTCCAAGAAAGGTAAGGAGCGGCGGCATCTTCCCAGCAAGGAAACTTGGCGGGGCTTGGGGGGGATGCAATCACCCCGGTGATCTGGGCAATTTAACAGTGTTTTAATGAAACTTTTTAAAAAGAATCTAAAAACCTAATAAAAGTCTATTTTTTTCCTCCCTGTGGAAATAATTGCATAGCCCTTCTGTAAAATAGCAATGAAACAGAAAAGTTTTTGGTGGGTTCCTACCATGAATAAATTTGATGGGACAGCTTGGTCTGGACTTCAGAGGGCAGCATGTTTTCCATGTTATCTCTAAGGTTCGCCCCAAACTTTTCCTCTACTAAAATCTCCCTTTCTATGACCCCTGCCCCTCCTCATTCATTTTTCAGAAGCACGTAAGTGGCAGATGACAGACTGCTGTTGTAGATTTGGAGACAAGAGTAGGCAGATAATATATAATCCATTAAGTATCAACATGGATCTTTATTTTAAAACACTTGCCCTAGGTGTCTGTCAAGCCGTACACGAGCTCCGACTACGCAGGCTTACCAGAGGGCAATGCGCACAAAAAGATGCCTAAGTTTTCTTTTCCTTAATGTATTTTTTTTTCCTTTTCTTCTCTTTTTCTGCTACCGTCCCATCCTTTCTCCCTCTGACTCCATGCACGTTAATTATAGGAGAAGGCAGGAAAGGAAGGGCTGGCGTTGCAGCCCAGCAGCGTGTGAGCCCGCCTGCCTGCCTGCCGTGTCCGGCTGCAGTCGCGTGGGCTTGGACCGCTTCTGGTGGGCGCTCGACTGCTTGGAATGAAGTGGGGAGCGAGGAAGAAGCATCCCAGGAATTCATTTGGCCGGGCTGCTCTCTATGCTCGCCTTGTGGCTGTTTTCATCTGATCCCATCCTTGAGAAATTTTTCCGTTTTCTCCCATTCGATCCTTCTGTGAAATCACTGCATAGCTGCGTGTGCCGTGTCTGTGGCTGCTTTCTAGAGCAAAAATACCTCCTCGGGCTGGTATAGGGTACATACGTGCATTGCACTTACTGGATGTACCAGGAGAGAGAAATGATTTTCTTAGAGAAATTTTGTTTTTCTCTCCGTGTCACTGGAACTGCTGTTTGTAACCCATTGGTGACAAGCAGGTGAGAGAAAAATCAGGTGGTGGAAGAAAAGTCAGGTGGTGGGAGAAAAATGACCTTTTTGACAGGAAAGTTGGGCTCTGATTTAAACACATTTTTCAGAGGGGAGGAGGCAACATTTTTTTTTCTGAAAATCAAGCTATCTGAAACAGCTGGTGGTAATTTTTCCTGAGAGCTTCAGGGTTTCTTTTCAAAGGAGAGGTCAAGTTTTCTCTGGGTAAAAGAAAAACAAAAACAAAACCAAAACAAACTTGGCATTTTTTGGCCGGCTGCATCAGCCCCACGGTGGGTCAGCTGCCCTGCCTTTACTGGAAACTTCCAGCATTTCTTGGTTATCTTTTTTCTGATTTTTACCAACACCGGGGGGTGGGGAAAGAGGGAGGAAAGCACTAAAAATCCCCTATGATGCTCTTCTTTGCCCCCAGCCCCTCACCACGTCCAAGCCTGCCTGCCCACCCGCCGCAGGGGCCGGGGCTCAGCCCCTCCTGCCCTGAGTGAGGGCAGGATGGCCCCATCCCATCCCCATCCCATCCCCATCCCAGGCCCCCCGTACCCCGCCATCCTGGCTCACCCCCTGCCCTTTGCCAGGGAGGGTCGGGCAGCATGAAGCCACTGGAGGGTTGGGGTGTTCAGCGGGATTTATTTTTTTTTCAATCTGCACAGACAAACCACGAATGTTAGAAAAGAAAATGATGATTCGAGCCAAGCTTTTTCTCTTTTTCTCCACTTTTATTTGTTTTTTTATTGTTTGGTTTGGTTTTTCTTCTTCTTTTGTGTAATTATTGCTTACATTTGGATCTGCTTCACAACAAAAATGGTACTGTTTCAACATGAAAAAGCTAAACCATAACATTTAGAAAATGCTGAGATGGCACATTCACTTTGCCTGCTGTTGGGCTTTTTTCCCCCTCAAATTGCTCCCCAGTGTTTTTTCCAGATGCAGCG